CTTGGTCTTTGCATATCAATCCACGTGTCTTCATATCCCAATTGTATGCACTCTTTTCATCTTCTGAAGTTCCAACACACTTTATTTCTTTTCTATCATTTGTCACTCTCAAGCTAGCATTGCAGATTTTGGGGTTTGGGGCTTGAATCTCTGCCTGGAATGTAAACCCTCTGAGTGCAGGGCCTGTGCTCCACTGGTCTTTGCATTCCCAGTGCCTAGCATAGTACCTTGCATATAGTAAATGCTCAATGAATATCCTTTGAATGAATATTAGATGATGCCTTTGAGATATGACAAAATTTTGAAGAACATATTTAATATTTTTTAAAATTGATCTCACATTTGCATAGATTTGTCTTTTCAATTGCTTTTCTAAACACTGTTAATGTCATGAATAATTTACTGTTTATTATTTATCATCAATTTGCTTATTTTCAGTTGTTATTATTTATTTATTAATTTATTGATGCATAAACCATATCTAGGGCATCATAGCAGGCAACATCTCCTCACAGAACATCACATTCTGTATTACCAGGACAACCCCTGGGCTGGAAGGGACAGACATTTTTATTACCATTTTGCAGAAAAACTATAAATTGAAGTCTGAAAGATGAAGCAGCTTCTCAAAGTACACAGTTAATTTTTCAGAGGTTGGACTACAAAGCAAGTCTCTCTGTGCTCATGTTAAATGTTAAAATATTGATCTTATGGTATTCTATTTCTTTGAAAACTGACGATCTCTTGAAATGATTTATAAAAAATTTCAACCAGAAACCTGACAATATGAACACCCCTTTCTAAGCCATGGCAGATAAGAAAGTACGACCTTACATTCTAATGATATGACACCAATCAGCATGAAAGGAATCACCCATGAAACAAAAGCAGGGCCACTGAAAATTTCAAATTGTAAAATTACAAGGGAAAGAAGGGCACCAAGTCTGATCGGGAACTCTTTTTAGAAAGTTTCTTTTCCCAGGATTTAGCATTTCCCAGACAGAAGTTAGCAAATGAACTAAGTGAATTAACATCGATCATTTTATGTAGTTTCTTCAAATACTCTTGGTTCTTTGTACCCTAGCACTTTCATTATACTTTGAAAAATAAAATCCTTTTAGGAACCGGCCACACCTCATACGTCAATTGTGTAATGAGAGATAATTTCTCTTTCACTTCCTTCTTCCCTTGGTTATCAATTCATTATACCTAATTAAGGTACACATCTTACTATACAGTTGAGTACCCTTTGATATAGTTCTGTAAACTTTGAGGTCTATCTTGATTTGAGAGAAATCTTATGGCTAAATTGAGAAAAAGGAGGGAGATGGGAGTTAGCAGTTTTGAACTCCTTAAGGGTGAAGGAAAGAACAAAGCCGCATTTATTACAATTTCGTACTTAACATTGTCTACATTTTACCCCTCTGACAGAATTTTAAGGAATAAATAGTAAATACTCAGTGTAGCCAGCTCTGCACTACATCTTTATTTACCTTCATATCCAACACGAACTATTCCCCTGAACATAGAAATGATTGCCTGTAAGGCCCACCTATGACAAGAGTTTGCTCTCACTTAAAATTGCTTTGAATTCAGTACTTCAGAGTAACTTCAGATGAATTTTACACTTATGTCTCATTGAATGTAATGAGCCAGAAGTATGGGTTTAATGAGGATGACTTGTTCATGGATGTCATGAGGTAAACGACTCAAAGCATAAAAATTGTATTTTTCAGAAAGGTCTGGGGAGACACTGGTGGGACAGAAGAAAAGTGCAAATGGCGTGCCTGGCTAGTGACCGTCTTCCCTGTTCCATCTCAAATGTGCTGAAGCACAGCTGGGGCCAAGGCAGGGGCCCCAAACCTGGTGTGTGAGTGGGTAGAGAGGGAATGCCGGAGGGGGTGAGCCAAGAACTTGACACTTCAAAGCTCTGAATGTCTTAGGTTGGCCTCCATTAGGGAATCTCAATATTGGGGTGGCATAAAGATCAGAGTGAAGTTTTGGAAATGCAGACTTTATATATTTGGTTTTCTTGTTTCAAAATTTTGATTTGTTCATAAAAAGGTTATAATGTGATCTGCAAAAACACAAACTACATTCATGACTTAGAAACACTTAGAAAACTTAACAGTCCCTTTAAGCAGCAGAGACTCCTTATCCTTTACTGTTGAAGATATAAAGTTTTCTCAAGAAATGCTTCGGGAAGTCATAAAGGCACGATCACGGGTTCCTCTCAAAGGAAGCAACAAACTAACTCAGATAAGACCTCAGACAGTGGTGAAGCGGAGGTTTGTTGTTATTTCCGTGTTATGCAGATGCCCCTTCTTGATAAAATATGTGGTCTAAGATGTGGTCTCAGTTTTAGTGAGTTACAAGTTCATGCCTTGAGTTTCTCTTGTTTCTTTTAAGGGAATAAATCATTCAACTTTTTTCATTATCTTGCACACTATTGCTGTGAAATGGTAGCCTTTGGCTTCAGGTGGACACATGCTAATGGCGGATTGATCCATCTGTATTGATACCCATAATAGTTTTATTTTGGTATTCTCTTTCATCTAAGATTTCAAAGGACTCTGTAAATGTTTCAGTTAAATTTTGTAGCAAACCTCTTAAAAAGAGAAGTAGGAAAAAGTCTAAGCCTTCTTATGTGTAAGCTCCTTGAGGGCATAATTTTCATGATCGGAGTAACTCCAGCTCACTAGACATAGTAATATCTTCAACATTCAATAAATATTTACCATCTACTTTAAAGGTAAAATGTACAAGTGTTCTTCCTACTCCATCTTTAATTATCCCACGCCCTTAAACTAATAAAAACTTCCATTTTCATGGTTCCTTTATATTATTTAGTTCTATGTCCCTAAGAAAATAGAAATCTAATAAACTAATGAAACCTACAAGCTTAATAATATACTGCTATTGCCAAAGATATCTATATTTTGAAGGAGAGGCTATGTCTTAATTTACTTAGAATAAATGATCTAACTATGTAAGGTACTCTGGATGGACTTCATCTGTGACATATTTAAGTACTCAGTTAATTGTAAATCTTATGACAGTGGTAGTAATAGAAAGCTGATTTATATAAATATTCTTCGAATTTGGGGAATTTGTGTAATTTGTCAGATTCATTGGGGGAATGCATTTGGTGGCCAGGAGTGTCTTCTGGTTAGGGTTATAAACCACACCATATTATCCAGAAGAGATGGAAAGATGATTGACTTTAAGTGAATTCAAGTCTATGGGCAGTAGTAGACAGTCTATTGCTGTCCTTGTCCTAGCTATAAACTAATCAAGCAACTCACATGAGAGCTCGTACAAGGAAAAATTCATCAAAATAAGTTATGTGTTCATGTGCTTAAAGTCATCATGAATTAAAACTGATTCATGTTAGTAGATTATGTAGAAGCTATAAACAAATAATATTTTAGTGGGATTAAGGTCCTATAGTATTCGATCATTTGTCACAAATTTCCTTCTGTAAAATGAGGATTGTAATAGCACCAAACCATACTGCTATTGTGAAAGTTAAATGAGTGAGTTGATGAATAGATCTGATGCGGTGATGAGATGGTCTCCCACATCCAAAGCTGGGATATATGGCTGGACAAAGGAAGTTTTTCTGCTTCCATCTCTCTCTCTCTCTCTCTCTCTGTGGTTTGTACCCTGCACTTAGCATTCTGAGGCATTTTCATGGTTAAGGGAAAGGAATACTGGACATTTGAAATGGATTTATGGATGCTATGCTATATTCACTGTTCATGTGCTTCCAACAGAATGTTCATTTTCCAGTGGCTATGTTACCATATAGCCCCATCCTAATTAAAATAAAAACATATAAGAACTGCATCAGAAAGGTTTAAAATACTAGCACAAGAAAATAAGAAAGATCAGAAGACCAGGAAAATACAGTGTTTGTGTCTGGTTTCTGTTTTTGGTTTCTTTTTAGGTAATGAGCAACTTTTGATTATTTATTAACTGATTATCTTGAATTATAAATTACCAAGATGTTCCCCTGCCTCTATCTTGCTGTCTGCTTTTGAGCCATCTTACCAATAACCTAGGCTGCCAACATATGAGGTAGCCAGAGAAAACAGAAGGAGCTAAAATGAATAATTTTTTTCTTTGCTTATGAGTATGGTTCAAAGTTGGAATGGATTAGGGTGAAATTTTGGTGAAAGTCAAATTTAAGGATTATTTTTATTTATTCATGCTACTGCTTTGTTCTATTACTATAATTACTTAATCAAAAGTTCATTGAACATAGTTTAGTGGCTCAAATAAGATCTAAACACTAGACCTAAATTTTTACAGATTAGAAACTTTCATATCATGATTTGGCTCATTTCTCATTTTGAGGTTAAGTGCATCACTTATATTCTCTGTACTAGTTTTCTACTCTATAAAAGGAGGAAAATAATATCAACTTCATCTTTTAACGGAATATTATATATTAAAAAGTTTGTGAAAGGCACTGATGATATATCATCCCACAAGAACAAATGATTATTCATTATGATGCTGCAGTTTTTATTACAAATGCAGTGTGGGTAACTGCGGTGCTGACTTCAGTTTAGTTCAAATGTATATTCCTCCCAGGCACTGTAAGTAAGGGCTTTGTGCTGTGGTGTAAATACTTAATAGTTTACTTGCCTAGCATATGATCTCTAGTTTAGGAATTACAATGTGATTCTTCTTACTTTCTCATCACAGTTGCCTGAATACAAAGCACCCAATACTATGTTATGTTGATGATCCAAGAAAAAATTTGAAAGACTCAGAAGCATGGTTCCTGACTTACTGACAGTTATTAAAATCAAACCCTTTCTTTATCACCAAGTGTTCCACATACAAATGTGTTATAGCTGTCTATAAACCTATAAAATAGCCTATTAGCCTCTGCAATATGGAACAAGAGACAATCAGTAAGGCAACAGAACAACAGTAAGCTCACATGACATCAGCATGCTTAATAGATTTTAAATGAGAAGGCTTCTTACCTAGCATGCAAACACATTTGACATTCTGATCAGGGTTTTCAAACAAGATTTCGCCACACCTCTGAAATAGAAAGAAAGCCATCATTATTTTAAGATTTCCTATCAGGGTTCCCAAAGCAACATGTCCATGCAACCTGACATCACCATGACATTATTCTGCTCTTCATGTTTTCTTTAGTTGCCTGAGTCTAGGGACTTCTGCCATGAGCAGAGACTTTCCTCGTAGCAAAATATTTGAGAGGTAAATTGGGGACAGACTGTTCCTGCATGCCTCATGCCCCTGCCTCAAGCTGATCTGTGTGTTCCTATGAGGGGTCACGGCCAGAGACGCACCCAGTGTCCAACAGTTTCTATTTCAATGGAAGATACACAGTCTATTAGATCTAGTAATCTGAGGTTAATGACTCTCAGAATTGGCTCTTATTCAGTACTGAAATTATCCTAAGCTACCTACTCTGCAATCAAACAGACATTTTCAAGTACAAACCGAGGTGGCCTACACTTAACTCTCTGAACTTGGGAACTCTGAACTCTCTGCACAAATAAGGAAATGATGAAAAAGTGGCATTCATAATCCTTTTCCAGAAGCATCGACTCATCGAAATATCAACTCTCTTACCTACATCTCAGTTTTAACTTGCATCTTAACATTTCTGTACAGGGCAAACTCCAGAGATACAATCAGTTATTTAAGAATAGACCACATTTATGTATATGATTGACAAATGGTTAGTACCTGAATGTATAAATAAATCCTCCTAATCAATAAGAAAATAACAAATAATCCAATGGAAAAGTGGATAAAGGACATAAGCAATTCATGGAAGAGGAAATCTGAATGGTCACTAACAGAGAGGATATATTCAACCATACTAATAATCAGGAACCAGCAAATAAAAGATAAAACGAAGCCTATTTTGAGCCCATTGATTTGGCAAAACTTAGAAATCTGGCAAAAACAAGTTTATCAAAAATGTAAAGAAATGAATCTTCTCACACACTGTGGGTTGCAGTATAAAATGATGGAACCATTTTGGAGAAAAACTGGCAAAATCTTACTAGATTTCTACTTATTACTTACTAGATTTCATTCTTACTAAGTTGAAATGTGCATACACTATGACATAGCAGGTCATCTTCTAGAATGATAACTACAGAAACTTTACTGTTCAGCTACAAAACAGATAAATGTTAGTCATACATTGGAGTGCTATATGGCAGTTAAAAGTGAAAATGGGAGGAACACTCCCAAACTCATTCTAAGAGGCCACCATCATGCTGATACCAATACAAAGATGTCACAAAAAAAGGAAACTACAGACCAATATCACTGATGAACATAGATGCAAAAATCCTCAACAAAATACTATCAAACAGAATCCAACAGCACATTAAAAGGATCATACACCATGACCAAGTGCGGTTTACCCCAGGAATGCAAGGATTCTTCAATACATGCAAATCAATCAATGTGATATACCATATTAACAAACTGAAGGAGAAAAACCATATCATCACCTCAATAGATGCAGAGAAAGCTTTTGACAAAATTAAACACCCATTTATGATAAAAACACTCCAGAAAGCAGGCATAGAGGGAACTTACCTCAACATAATAAAGGCCATATATGACAAACCCACAGCCAACATGGTGGAAAACTGAAACCATTTCCACTAAGATCAGGAACAAGACAAGGTTGCCCACTCTCACCGCTATTATTCAACATAGTTTTGGAAGTTTTAGCCACAGCAATCAGAGAAGAAAAAGAAATAAAAGGAATCCAAATCGGAAAAGAAGAAGTAAAGCTGTCACTGTTTGCAGATGACATGATACTATACATAGAGAATCCTAAAGATGCCACCAGAAAACTACTAGAGCTAATCAATGAATTGGGTAAAGTAGCAGGATACAAAATTAATGCACAGAAATCTCTTGCTTTCCTATACACTAATGATGAAAAATCTGAAAGTGAAATTAAGAAAACACTCCCATTTACCACTGCAACAAAAAGAATAAAATACCTAGGATTAAACCTACCTAAGGAGACAAAACACCTGTATGCAGAAAATTATAAGACACTGATGAAAGAAATTAAAGATGATACAAATAGATGGAGAGGTACACCATGTTCTTGGATTGCAAGAATCAACATTGTGAAAATGACTCTACTGCCCAAAGCAATCTACAGATTTAATGCAATCCCTATCAAACTACCAATGGCATTTTTCACAAAACTAGAACAAAAAATTTCACAATTTGTATGGAAACACAAAAGACCCCGAATACCAAAACAATCTTGAGAAAGAAAAATGGAGCTGGAGGAATCAGGCTCCCTGACTTCAGGCTATACTACAAAGCTACAGTACTCAAGACAGTATGGTACTGGCACAAAAACAGAAATATAGATCAATGGAACAGGATAGAAAGCCCAGAGATAAACCCATGTACATATGGTCACCTTATCTTTGATAAAGGAGGCAAGAATATACAATGGAGAAAAGACAGCCCCTTCAATAAGTGATGCTGGGAAAATGGGACAGGTACATGTAAAAGAATGAAATTAGAACACTCCCTAACACCATACACAAAAATAAACTCAAAATGGATTAACGACCTAAATGTAAGGCCAGACACTATCAAACTCTTAGAGGAAAACATAGGCAGAACACTCTATGACATAAATCACAGCAAGATCCTTTTTGACCCACCTCCTAGAGAAATGGAAATAAAAATAAACAAATGGGACCTAATGAAACCTAAAAGCTTTTGCACAGCAAAGGAAACCATAAACAAGATGAAAATACAACCCTCAGAATGGGAGAAAATATTTGCAAATGAAGCAACTGACAAAGGATTAATCTCCAAAATTTACAAGCAGCTCATGCAGCTCAATATCAAAAAAACAAACAACCCAATCCAAAAATGGGCAGACCTAAATAGATATTTCTCCAAAGAAGATACACAGATTGCCAACAAACACATGAAAGAATGCTCAACATCATTAATCATTAGAGAAATGCAAATCAAAACTACAATGCAATATCATTTCACACTGGTCAGAATGGCCATCATCAAAAAATCTACAAACAAGAAATGCTGGAGAGGGTGTGGAGAAAAGGGAATTCTCTTGCACTGTTGGTGGGAATGTAAATTGATACAGCCACTATGGAGAACAGTATGGAGGTTCCTTCAAAAACTAAAAATAGAAGTACCATATGACCCAGCAATCCCACTACTGGGCATATACCCTGAGAAAACCATAATTCAAAAAGAGTCACGTACCACAATGTTCATTGCAGCTCTATTTACAATAGGCAGGACATGGAAGCAACCTAAGTGTCCATCAATAGATGAATGGATAAAGAAGACGTGGCACATATGTACAATGGAATATTATTCGCCATAAGAAGGAACGAAATTGAGTTATTTGCAGTGAGGTGGACGGACCTAGAGTCTCATACAGAGTGAAGTAAGTCAGAAAGAGAAAAACAAATGCCGTATGCTAACATATATATATGGAATCTAAAAAAAAAAAAAATGGTCATGAAGAATCTAGGGGCAAGAGAGGAATAAAGACACAGACCTACTAGAAAATGGACTTGAGGACACGGGAAGGGGGAAGGGTAAGCTGGGACAAAGTGAGTGAGTGGTAGTGTATATATGGACATATATACACTACCAAATGTAAAACAGATAGCTAGTGGGAAGCAGTTGCATAGCACAGGGAGATCAGCTCGGTGCTTTGTGACCAGCTGGAAGGGTGGGATAGGGAGGGAGATACAAGAGGGAAGAGATATGGGGATACATGTATGTGTATAACTGATGAACTTCGTTATAAAGCAGAAACTAACACACCATTGTAAAGCAATTATACTGCAATAAAAAAGTTAAAAAAAATAAAAGTGAAAATGAATTAGGGCTACATATAGTGTAAAAACATGTTATATGTATAATATACACATATAAATATATAATATTCAAATAGTATAATATTTAAATCTTGTAAAATATATAATGTTCAAATCATGTAAAATATATAATATTCAAATCATATAAAACATATATAATGTTTAGGGACTTCCCTGTTGGCGCAGCGTTTAAGAATCCACCTGCCAATGCAGGGGACACGTGTTCGATCCCTGGTCCGGGAAGACCCCACATGACGCGGAGCAACTAAGCCTGTGCGCCACAACTACTGAGCCTGTGCTCTAGAGCCCGGGAGCCACAACTACTGTATCCATGTACCACAACTACTGAAGCCCATGTGCCTAGAGCCCGTGCTCTGCAACAAGAAAAGCCACTGCAATGAGAAGCCCACGCACAGCAATGAAGATCCAACGCAGCCAGAAGTAAAATAAATTAATAAAAAAACCCAAACATATATAATGTTTATATCATGTAAAAGTATCATGCTAGGTAAAAAAAACTGTCTCCATGTTTTAATGAAGTTAAAAATATCTAAAAATAGCACATGTTGTTTATGGATACATTAATTTACAAAAAAAGCATAAAAACAGGCAATGAATAAGGAACATCAAATTCAGGGTAGGGGGAAGATATACAGAGTAATGAAATGTTGGAGGGCATACAGGGGTTATCAACTTTTTCTATAATGATATGTTCCTTATTCTCTGTTTTCTGTGCTTGAAATATTTCATAATAGGAAAGAATTGTCCCCATTTGCAACACTGTGAATATAAAAATGGCCCTTCACATTCTGCCTCTCTACGCACGTCTCCCGTGGGCTTATGGATGTCATTTAGTACCAGGCTGGACTTTTTTGTTGTTGTTGTTGTTGGACTTGTTTTTCCCATTTATTTCCTTGTCCTTAGAAAGACTGAGGGCATCTATTTTGGTCCATTTTCCTCTTTCTTTCACTGTTCACAACTTGGTTAATTCCACTCCCGTCAATCTTTATTGTACTTACACTTAAAATATTAAAAGACAAAGTAATTTCTGGGCAAAACGATTCCCAGATGAAAGAATTCATATTCTTCACACCTAATGATGCAACCTCCTGGTACACAGAGGCACAGGTTGAGAGGAGAAAGGATGACCCA